TTAAGGTGATTTGGGGCCCCCCCCCCCCCCCCTTCCAATAATACAGGAGGAGCAGTCTGTACCCTAGAAGCCCCGCTACATCCTCAGAAGACAAAAATCTGATTATCAGCAATATTCTCTCCCATTGTTTCTTGAATCATAGTAACTCTTCTACATTCTACCTCCTAATACTGCAAATCATTTCAATAACTAAACACTGGAACAAAAAGAAATGTCATCTTGTCCTAAATAAAATATCAGAGAGGTGGGATTTACCTGGAGATACAGATCTCTCGCACTTGCTGAGGGGTCAGAGCAAAGATGAAGAATTTCTCCTGAAATCGCTGCATGTTGTTCTGGACTGAAACAGTGAAGACAAATCAGATCAGTTGGCGTTCCCAAATTCCAAAATCAACCATTAAAGCCACAGTCCATCTTTCATGTTACACCCATAATTAGATTGCAACATGAAACATGGTCACCCCCCCCGCCAGTTGTGCATGGCTCCACCCACCCAGCTGTGCCAACCATTCACAGTGATCCGTGTATGGGAAGACTACAAGTCCCACCTGCCACCGAGGCAGAAAGACTCACAGAAGGCGTGAGCACAAGTGCTAGGACATCACCACTTTTGTAGTCCATATTTTCCTGCCACTACTTCGCACATGGTTTACCTCCAGACCAATCACAGAAGGTCCGCACCTCCGGATTTATTTTATTTTATGGAGGGACATCCATTCACTTCTTGTAAAAGGTGCAGAACCAATCTATCTTTAGCAAGTACCACCAGCCATGTGCATACCTCTCTCCTATGCACAGATCAATTCTCTATGTGTCTGTGTCCCAGAAGACGAGGCCTAACTGCCGAGCTAAAGCCGTTCACTTCCTACTTTAGATGTAGATTACCCCGGCTGTAAATCTAATCTATCCATCTATAGCGGATACAAGTCTCTCACCCAAAGTGTTTCTAATCCTCCATGAAAGAGCAGGGACTGTGCACACCCCAGCCATTTCTCTTTTCTGATATTGCAGACAAAGTATATCCGTCTCCAGATTGAGGAGGTATATCCTCTACAAAGTGTGCCCTGCATCTCTCATACCCCTCAATCATCCTGCAGGATCTTTTGTTGTGTAAAGGTGCCCATATACCGTATTTTGCGGTCCATAAGACGCACCGGACCATAGGACGCAGGGAGGTCCGGCGCGCCTTATGGAGCACTCGACAGACTGTAGCTTCTGACACAGCTTCTATGACAGAAGCTGTGACAGAAGCTGCAGTTAGTGACCGCTGAGACAGGTGGCGCTGTGATTACAGCGCCACGGTCTCAGCGATCACACAGAGCAGACGAAGAAAGTTCGTTCTTCGTCTGCTCTATGGTGATCTTGATCGTCGCCGCTGCTCGGTTTTAATACGAGTGATCTCATTAGATCACTCGAATTAAACGAGCAGTGGCTCCTACTACCCGCCCGGCGCCCGAAACTGCATGTCTCGGGCGTCGGGATTCGCTCTATAAGACGCAGGCACATGTTTCCCCTGGGGGGAAAAAAGTGCGTCTTATAGAGGGAAAAATACGGTACTTGTAAAGTAATTTAAAAAATGTACGATCTGCCCATCTCGTACCTGCGATCATCGCAAGCCCGCAATACTGAACGGGCAGTGTGCGCGTGCGCTCACCGGCCGGTTCGGCAGTGATCTCTCGATCATGTTAAAACCAGCCGAAAATCGTACGATTCTCGGCGGGTTTTCCAACATGCTTGATATACAAAAGTCGTGCGACCGTACATTAGAAACGGTCGCACGCCTTCCATACACTGCACGATTCTCGTACGATCGCGGGATTGCAGTGTATGGGCAGCTTTAGGAACACATTATGAACGGCGTCATTGATACAATGAGCTGATCTATATTAGCATCAGCTACGTCTGGGATCCAGCAATATAGATGGCGTGTTGGAGACCCCGGCCCCTTTAAAAGCTCTCCGAGTCTCATACGGCTGGGTGTCTAATACATGGAGCACATCATTCACAGTAATGTGATATATAACATCTCCGAGCGTCAGTGCAACTTCATAAATCAGCAGTGTGAAGTAACTCCATATATCCATAGTGCTGCACAATATTAAATGAGAGGTAAAGGCAAAACCTTTCATATGGGCTGACCAGGAGATAATCCGCATACAGATCTTCTCCTGATCAGAGTGGTATGGATCAGATGTCACCGATCTGACATCCGTGTCCGTCCATCTTGCGATCGGGGGGGGGGGATATGAAATGACTGGACCCCATGTCAGTCTATGGGGAATCAGATGTAAACAGAAATGTGTCCGTTTATGTGTCGGATTACCCCCACGGTCCGGCACAAAAATGAGGTCTGTTGAAACGGAACACTGTTCCATTCTTTTTTCCGGACCTGGCTGGAGACAGGGGTAAACGGATGTGAAGGGACGCCTGCCTGTTAAGACGTGGCTGCCTCGGACGCAAGAAACCAAATTATAAAATCCTTACCTTTTGGTACAGGACAGCAACACTCCTGCACAAGATACACCCATCTCTTCCCGATACCCGCTTACGATGCCCAAGGCTCTCTATCCCACATTTCCTGCCCACTCCTGAAGCCATTTTGGACACAGGTCCATACAGCCATATGACAGGTCCTGGGTATCCGTCTGCCGTTTCACCCTGCCTGGTTCCTCCTACACCAGTCGACAGACTGCTCGATGAGGTCTCCACCCTCTAAATCATTACTCAAGCACCACACAATGCGGCTCGAGCTATCATTCCTCGGAATTGGAGAGACACTACAACCCCGACTTACTCGGAATGGCCTAAACAAGTGAATCACATATGCGAAATGGAAGAGCTCCTATATACCAAAAAAGGACAAACTAGATAAAAGGCATTGCTCTCTGGTCTTGCTGGGTTGGACTTCAATGCGCGATCCACGCCCACGCATGTCCAGGACATGAATCCAGCTCAGGTCCCTCTCCCTTAGATGACCCTACTGGCCATCCTTTCTTTCTTGTGTTGATCATACAACCTCGAGGGGATGCGAGGAGACAAGGCTGGCCCGCTGCGGAGCCGTCTGGCTGATCCTCCCCCCCACCCTCCCTCCTGCCCCCTCCCCATGCTCCCCCTACCACCCTTCTTTAATCTCCTACTTTTATTTCTCGTCTTGCCAGGATGTCCCACAGTTGCCTTGGATATCCTCACATGAGCACAATATCTCGCTACTTGCAATGACCTGTCTAGCGCACGTTCAAAAGCCGGGGAGTGGAGGAGATGGAGAAATAAGAACAAAGGAATTTCTCCCATTCAACACCAAGTACTCGCCGATACAAATGACTGATACTTTTTTTAGTGTCCTGTGACAGTTTTTCTAAAACAATACAGACTAATGATTTTAGGACAGTGGTGGAATGGCAGGGCCCGGTCCCAGCTGCAACCTCTGCAACCCTGGTAGTTCTGCCACTGACTCCAAGCCGTAGAGGACTACAAATCTCAGCAATACATTATATAGCACTGCAGAATAATACCACCAGCTATAGAGAACTACAGATCCCAGCAATACATTATACAGCAATGCAGAATAATACCACCAGCTATAGAGAACTACAGATCCCAGCAATACATTATACAGCAATGCAGAATAATACCACCAGCTATAGAGAACTACAGATCCCAGCAATACATTATACAGCAATGCAGAATAATACCACCAGCTATAGAGAACTACAGATCCCAGCAATACATTATACAGCAATGCAGAATAATACCACCAGCTATAGAGAACTACAGATCCCAGCAATACATTATACAGCAATGCAGAACAATATGAAGCTACATACTCTGTTCTACTCTGCCAATACTTCCTGTAACTCTGCATATATCATACCCTACAATCCTAGCACTGCAACCAATCAGCTTCTCTCTCTCATTTTCAAATCTTACCTGAGCAAACTGAAGAAAGAAGCTGATTGGTTGCCATGCACAGTTGCTCCAGATTCTGTCTGCTCCAGTTTTGATAAATTCCCCCATAGTATTTTTCTATACACAGGGGTGTGGAAATTTTAGAAAAAACTACTTGTCCAAGGACTAAAGTGGGGACCCGATCTACTTGTCCTGATGCAAAAAAATTATTTTAACCAAAACCGTATTTAGCAGTGCTAAGAAGCGCTTCTCATTGGTCAGCGCCGTCAGGTGACCGCGTTGACCAAAGAGTGCTTGCAATTTGCGAGCGAAATTCAGAATATACGGAACAGGTACAGATAGTACACCCGTACTGGTGGACGGGAAGGACCATTCGCCGAAAGGTAAGTATAGCGGGAGGGAGATTTGTGCGGGTAATTCCATCTTCCCAAATTACATGGGAAAGTGAATTTACCCTTTAGGGTTGGTGCAGACTTGGGAAATCCCGGGACGCGCGATCATGTGCGGTTGCATACAGCGGTTGCGTCCGCATTTTTGGGGTTACATCTGCGTGGCAATCGCTGAAAAAAGGTTCATGTACCTTTTTTCGCGACACGCACTGCGCAGTGTTTTCAACCACGATTGCGTGGGACCGCCCGGGTGGTATTGCGGCGGGAAACAGTGCGATCTGCCTGGCGGGAATGGAGCGCCATTCGAAAATAATGGCACTGCCAGCACGATCGGCGGTGGCGTGCGATTCCGCGACCGCCCAGCCATCCGCTCAGATTCGTGCACGATGACCAGGCAGTCACGGATCGCACAACACCGCCGATCGCGCTGGCAGTGCCATTATTTTCTATTGGCACCCCAGTCGTGCCAGGCAGATTGCGTGGTTTGCCGCTGCAATACTGCCCTGCCTGTGTGGTTGCACATGATCGCGGTTGAAAACACTGCGCGTTTATTGGCATGCAGATGATGGGGGCAGCAGGGCAGGTTTTCATGTTTTACATTTGTTTTTATAGTTACATTTTTAATTCGTTATTTATTTTTACTTTTTTTTATTTCTGCTACTTGTCCGTAGCAGGGCTAAAACACTGAAAAAACCACTTGCCCGGCGCCCGGAACTACATGTCCCGGGCGTCGGGCGATACGAATTCCACACTCCTCATACACACATACATCAAGTAATGTAGAGTTTTAAATTAAACAAAAGTAATTCAAGTGTGCCCGGTGTCATGAACTTCCTCTCAGCACGGGGTACTCCGTCCGTCATCTCTTAGAAGAGATACAAGTAAATCCCAAAATTGGAACAAACTGGCTGTGACCGAATGCTCCTGTACTGTACAGATCCAGAATGCTTCATCCAAATGTGTACTCATAGGGGCTTCAGCTCCATCAGCTACCTCCACATGGATGCATGGATCCAACAATGGTGACAAAACCAGAGAGGCCATTAGAACGAGTCCTAAGCAAACTGGATGCGGCAGAGTTGCAGCAAATAGTTTTTTTTTAGTTTTGTACAGCGTGGGGAATGTGATCTGTGCTCAGACCAGCAGGCAGAGATCTAGAATATGTTCCAGAATCAGCCCTTTGTAATCCTTTGCACAGCTCAGCTCAACCAGCAGAGGACGGACAGCGCTCTGAGCCAGTCAGGGATCTACAGCTTTGCACAGCGCCATCATTGAATGAACTTATAGGAGTGGAGAGCACAGGGATGACCTGGTCAATGTGTTGCTGATCTTTCATTGGCCAATCACAGGCAGAGACAACTAAAGAAGCAGACCTTTAGCAGCCATGATGTCAGAAGAATCAACAGAAATGTCCCCTGCATACCATACATCAATCAGGACATTTGATGCCTGAGGATAGCAGTGGTGCTTGCAGTGATGTCCACGGAAGGCGCCGTGCCAAATCCAGAGAGGATAGCAAAGAAGATCATCAGCACTCACAAAATGGAATAAATCCAAAAGTTATTTTTATTGTAGAACAATGTCACACGTATTATATAGCCAACGTTTCGGAACCGCGCAGGGTCCGTTCATCAGGGCAAACATAGTGACCGCTGGTGATCTTCATTCCTATCATCTCATGATCTCTGAAGAGTCTCAAATGGATGTCAAATGCAAAACGGAATTTGCATGTAAGCAAGCTGCATCCAAACGAGCCCGTCAACACCAAGGCACACAGCAGGATCCACATGGGGACGGTATCCCGATTCTCTAATGTAGGCACGGCAGAGGTCCTACAGTGCTCACATGGTTTCCAAATGCCTTTAGGGCTCAAGGTGACCGGCATATTAAAGGCAAATGCTCGCAGTTCAAAACACACCTTGATAGTACATGAGCAATGCAAAGCAGGTCAAACATCCTCTGAACTGCCATGTATAAAAGGTGGCCATACTCTTCACAACCCTCGCAAGACTTTCGTCTTGCGAGGGTTGTAAAGTAATAAAACGTACGATCTGCCCATCTTGGACAGGCAGATCGGGCTTCCGATGACCGCAATACTGAACGGGCAGTGTGTGCGTGCCCACACCGGCCCGTTCGGCTGTTCTCTCTCGATCATGTTAAAAAACAGCAGAAAATCGTACGATTCTCGGCTGGTTTTCCAACATGCTCGAAATACAAAAGTCGTGCGACCGTACATCAGAAACGGTCGCACGCCTTCCATACACTGCACGATTGTCGTACGATCAGGGAATCGTGCAGTGTATGGGCACCTTTAGGCTGCAATGAAGTCACTAACTCTGCTGACATGCGTTCCAAATGCAGGATAGCAATGCCCATCGACATCCCTACCGGTGAGTTGACCGGTGAGGAGAATGATTGGAGATCCCCGACAGCTACACAGACACCAGAATACTTCCTCCGCCACTCACCTAAGCTGGTGGGCTTGATGAGGACGTCTAGAACATCGTAGAAGGGAAGACTCTTGAGAAGAACATCGGGGTGGACTGGTGGCATTGGAGGCGATAGCTGCTGGATGTCAAATTGAGGTTTGGTGTCCTGCAGAAGCACCATCCCTAGCGGAGATGCTGGAGAGTGCGGCATTACAGAGGTGGAAGGTAACGAGTGGACGCCGGGCAGATCAGAATCCACGGAAGAACTACTGTCCAAGTTGAAGACATTGGATCGGACAGAGGACAGGCCCGGACCGCCGTCTAGTGTCCGAGGGAACCTTCTCCTGTACAGCTCCTTGATTTTAATCTGGACAGCTGGACTGCACCCGTTCTTCAGCAGATGAAGGGCCCTCATCAGAAGATCGTGCTTGCGACCGCTTTTGTTGCGTCCGGCAAAACCCAACAAAACTTGGAGTTCTGAAACGCGGAAACTGGACACCATGTTCTGAAAGGGAGGACAAAAACAAATGGACTGTTAAGTAAGTCACTACAGGCTAACCCCTCACCTCGGCCCCTACGGGACAACCCCTCACCTTCGCACAGCTGACTTCATCTCCATAACAATGGCAGAGCCAGGCCCCGCCCCCTCTCCTCACCATATCCCCGGTGCTGTCACTGGGCCTGGACAGCGCTGAGGGGAAAAACGTCATCAGACAACAAGCACCGAGCAGGCACCATGACAGCACCAGCGGCCGTCCCTTCACTGTCCCTTCTCCTCCCGCCACCGACTATGCGACCCGCTCTCACCCGCAGTTCTTCGGGATCCGCCATCTTCTCCCGGTACCATTCCTGCGCTCGGCGGGGATCACGTGATCTGGGCTCAAGCTGTGGGGGATGGGTGGCACCGGGCACGCGCATAAGCGCGTCCCCGCGGCTTAAGTTCCCGCCCAAAAATAAAATTAACCAGCCACGTGCTCTCTCCTTCAATGCATCTCTAGTAAGGCGGCAGAGGGGAACAGGTGGGCGGGGCTGTTTGGAGCCCCTAGAGTGTTTTATCCAATCAGCTCTCCCGAGTGGAAAGGGCGGGAAAACGCACCTCTGGGCTTGAGGCAATGTCAGTAATGGCTGCCAATATAACGAGAAGTCGTTCTGTTACAGCTTCATTATCAAAAGCTTGCCTCTACACATCCATATAAAAATGTCACCACACACATATTAACCACTTAAAGCCCCGGGGTGTTAAACCCCCTTCCTGGCCAGGCCATTTTTCAGTATTCAGCGCTGCGGTATTTTGACTGACATTTATTCCGTCAAGCAACGCTGTACTGAAACGAATTTTATACCATGTTTTGTGGACACATATAGTTTTCATTTGGTGGTATTTAATCACTACTGGTCGAGCTGTAGCTTGCGGTATACTGAGCTTAGGGTAACGGGAGGACGCTAGTTTGTGTCCTCCCGTTACCCCAAGGAGAACTATGGGGAAAAACACTGACCCCATAGTTCTCCTTTAAAGACACAGAGACGCACAAAGGATCGGGTAAATAGATACCAAACATGTTAAGCTTTAAAATTGCGCGTGCCTGCGAAATCGCAGTAAACGTTCACACCCAAAATTGGCCATAGGCGACGCTTTAAAAGCTTTTACCGCTCATCAGTTTAGTGTTATCAGTCATTGATGGCCCTAAAATTATTGCTGTCACTGCGACATTTGTGGCAATATGTAACATGTGCGGAGTAATGGGCGCAATCGTCGTTTTGCACGTAGACGCACCTGACGCATGTTTGCATTTGTATGTGAGGGGCGGGGCACTTTTAAAAAAAAATCGTGTTATTTTACTTTTTTTTTTAACTTTTTTTAGCTTTATTTTTCTTATGTTTGAATTTTTTTTAAACTTTTTTTTCTTACACATAACATTATTTTGCGGGAGCAGCTCCACGGTCTGCATCTGTGTCGGATGCAGACCGCAGAGCAGCTCCTGTCAGCTCTGGCTTCCTTCGGCCGGAGCTCTGACAGTACTGAGCCCCGGCCGAAAGATAGAATGCATGTGAGGAGGATCGATGCCTGGCTATCTGGGGGTGATCGTTGTTGAGCAGTGTATTATTGTGCTTTAAGCTGCCCATACACCTTACAACCATCCACGCCTTTCGTTGTGCGATGGTTGTAAGGTCATTAAAATCTCGGACAGGCAGATCGTACTTGCGATTATCGGAAGCCCTTCCCTCAGCGGGAAGGCTTCCAATAATCGCATGATTGCAGTGCTGAGTGGGCAGTGTGCGCCTGCACACACCGGCCCGTGCTGCATTCGTCTTCTGACCACGCCACCAACCCGCCAAAAATCGTACGATTTTCGGCAGGTTTTCCATCGTGCTTGAAAGACTAAAGTCGTACGACCTTACAGTAGAAGCGGTGGCACGCTGCCCATACACCTGCCGATTATCGTACAATCGTGGGATCACCCACAACTATCGTACGATAATCAGCAGGTGTATGGGCACCTTTAGTGTATGTTTATATTAGGCCCCATTCACACCTACAGTATATTTCAGGTGCGATTAGGGATTCCTTTGTCAGGAACTTGCGTTTTCCTGCTCCCTAATCTGCCGTTTACAAGCGCCAACTACCATAAGATAAGAATTATCATAAGATTATGTAAGAGGGTGTGTTTAGGGGCGGAGTTAAGGCCTGGGCAGGGTAAGGGTTAGGTGGGGCAACTAGTGGCTGGTGACTCTTAAGGCCTGGCTAGTAGCTCAGGACTTGAAATTTTGAGCCCTGCCCTATGTGATAGCCAATTCACATGACAGGTCCTCTTTATGGAGATGTCAGCGGTCTCTAAGATCCCTGATGTCACCTAGGGACCCCCAGAGAAGCTGATGAAGCAGAGATCTGCTCCATCAGCTTCTCTCCGGTGTTCTGTAACGGAGAGTGACACTGAATGCAGGAAGTGATGTAATACACATCACTTCCTGCATTCGGGGACAGCAGAGGAGATCAAAGGGAGATTGTGTACTGAACTTCCTGTGATCTCCAGTGAGAGCGTCGCTGTGCCGCTCCCAGCCGCACTGGCACATCGGATCTCGGGACCGGCAGCGGTGAAGGTACGGGGCAGGGGGTGCACACCCACAGCCAGTACAAGTGAGTACAAACGTCTTAAGGCGCCCTGCCGCGGCCATGGACGGGAGGTGGTTAAGCTTTTTTTTTCACATAACTTTATTGCTATAACATAGTGGGCTAATAAACCCCATATGTGATAGTACAGATACCGTGACAGGTCCTCTTTACAGTGACACCAGAGGTCAGTGGGGATCATGTGATCTAGGCTCACCTATAGAGCCCCAAAAGAAGCTAAGTCAGAAATCTGAGGATCTCTGTCCTCACAGAGGACAACAGAGCCCAGGACAGCCAGCTTCAGTGGTGTGAGGGGGGGGGGGCGCACACTAATCCGCACCAAACAAGTGATTGGGCGGCTCTATAGCTTGTATGTAAGGCCCCAATCACACCAGGGCGGTAGCGTTTCATTGCGGTTTCTGCACAATTTTTGAAAGGGCGTTTTTAATCACGTTTCAGCACTGAAACGTAACTAGAAATGCCCAAAAGCACGCTGATCAGCGCGTTCATGTAGGTGGAAAAATCCGCGTGACCCAACCGCCCTGGTGGGAACGGGGCCTAGCAGCTGTCGGCGGCTGTTTAAAATGTTTACCGCGTCCTGCTCGCGTGTGCCACACAAAAAAAAACTATGTTTATTCACGGCGACCCGCTGCCTAGAGAGTGGCATCCGTCCGTTTATATATAGAATAGGAAGATGGCAAGTGGTTGAAGAGGAACTTTGCCCGCCAATTGAATGTCTCCAAAAAGAGTTAGTTTCAAAGTGTGCCAACTGCTGAGGCTGCCAGTGTGTTTATTTCAGCTCTCAACCAAACTTTCAAGTCCTCAAGTGGCTGGTGTCATAGCTGATCACATGTGCAGTACCATGGCAACTGAAATCCAAACAGAGGCTAAAATGGCACCATCCTTGGCTGTAAGGGATAGGATGGTGTAGTTACGCTTTAAGAAAGGTCCATTTCATTTCTCCACTTCCTCGTCAAGACTCTCCAAGGTCTGATGCTCAAAGCCCGCTAAATCAAAAGACAAGCCTTCCTCTGCATGAAGGTGTTCCTCACACTCTGAAGTTAAGAGACGCATTTTAACCTTTGGACAGCCATAGACTTTGGTGCAGGAGGTGGTATCTCCGTGAGGTTTACCTCCCTGTCTTCCTGCTTCCCTACCTCTAACTTTCTTGAGTGGCCGCACAGATTAACAGATCACCATTGGGTTCCTTCAAGTCTTCTGGATCAAGGTGTCATTGTCCCAGTTCTTGCATCAGGTGGCAGAGATTTTACTTCAACCTGTTTACTGTTGCCAAACCCAAAGGGGGTATTCACCCCATCTTATACCTCAAGGCTCTCAATGTCTTCATTCAGGTCCAGAAATTCTGATGGAATCCACCAGACCTGTTCTTATCTTTCCAGCGCATTAGTGATTCCTATGATTTGCTTTTGGGTGCCTATACTACCAGTTTGGCCTCTCGTCTGCATCTTGGGTATTCACCAGTAGAAGAAATATTCACCAGTAGAAGTATTCACCAGTAGAAGAAGTATTCACCAGTAGAAGAGGTATTCACCAGTAGAAGAACTAGTCACCGGTAGAAGAAGTCGTCACCAGTAGAAGAAGTATTCACCAGTAGAAGAGGTATTCACCAGTAGAAGAGGTATTCACCAGTAGAAGAAGTATTCACCAGTAGAAGAAGTAGTCACCAGTAAAATATGTAGTCACCAGTAGAAGTATTCACCAGTAGAAGTAGTCACCAGTAGACGAAGTAGTCACCAGTAGAAGAAGTAGTCACCAGTAGAAGTATCCACCAGTGAAAGAAGTATTCACCAGTAGAAGAAGTAGTCACCAGTAGAAGTATTCACCAGTAGAAGAAGTAGTTACCAGTAGAAGAAGCAGTCACCAGTAGAAGAAGTATTCACCGTAGAAGAAGTATTCACCATTAGAAGTATTCACCAGTAGAAGAAGTAGTCACCAGTAGAAGAAGTATTCACCAGTAGAAGAAGTAGTCACCAGTAGAAGAAGTAGTCACCAATAGAAGAAGTATTCACCAGTAGAAGAAGTAGTCACCAGTAGAAGTAGTCACCAGTAAAATAAGTAGTCACCAGTAGAAGAAGTAGTCACCAGTAGAAGAAGTATTCACCAGTAGAAGAAGTAGTCACCAGTAGAAGAAGTAGTCACCAATAGAAGAAGTATTCACCAGTAGAAGAAGTAGTCACCAATAGAAGAAGTATTCACCAGTAGAAGAAGTTTTGCAGGTTTGCCAGGAGGCAGCCCAACCCCCCTTAAAGGCACAGTAGAAGAAGTAATCACCAGTAGAAGAAGTAGTCACTCGCACACCTAGGTCCAATGCTTCAATTTGTCCTTTTATTGACGTTAGATACACATGGCAACACAAGTACAAAGCAACGTTTCAGAACTTAGCATTGTCCCAGCACAGTGACAACCATGGTGAATAGAGTGCAACCTTATATACAGTGCAAACAATACAAAAATGGTCTCCACTAGACATGTGCGATTCGTTTCATTCCGAAAAATAATTCGGACGAATTTTCAGAAATTTGGACATCTGGACACATCCGAATTTCCGAATCCCAATGTGTCCGAATTTCTGTTTCCGAATGTCTGTATCTGCAGAAGGAAGGTAAGTCTGGAATTGGAAGTGTGTGTGTGTGTGGGGGGGGGATGCTGGTGATATAGTGCTCAGTTTTATTATAATGCATTGCTGGGACTTGTAGTCCTGCAGCCTTCCTGCTAACCAATGCGGTGCCTTGGCGGTTGGGGGGGGGCCTTCATGGTTTCTTGTACCGGGGCCCTGAAGCTTCTAGTTACGCCTTTGGCCACCAGTATTA